CATCAGGTGTGGAAGAGTGTAAAATTGAACCTAGCGCACCGGCTTTATGAGCCTCAACATTTCCACCAAACTTATCACATACCACAATCTTTCCTTTAACTAAATCTCTGTCTAGGCAACCTGGTGAACAAATCCCAGCATAGATTTCGGGGCACTTACTTGAAGCATCTTTTCCATGTATCAGTGGAAAACTTGTTCCATTTAAACTGAAAGAGTTCACCGAACTCCCAACGAGTGTGCTTCCATTTCCAAGAACAACCTTGTCAATGATCCGACGATCTGTGCTACTTGCTGCAACTGTAAGAATCCACGGTGCCACACTTGATACAGAACCCTCTTCAGGACCATTGTTACCTGCAGAGTTTGAGGTTAGTATCCCTTTCTCCATTGCATGAAAAGCACCAATTGCTATAGGATCAACATCCAAAGGAGATGCATGATTTGGTCCAATTGAAATTGTAATGATGTCAACCCCATCGGCAATAGCGTGGTCGAAAGCAGCCATGATAGCCTCTCCAGTGCACCCTTCAAGAGTGCAGATTTTATATACAGCAATTCTCGCAGAGGGAACTCCTCCTCTTGCAGTACCTGGTACTAGTCCATAAAAACTCACATCCTTTACGGCATTCCCAGCTGCCGTTGAGGCAGTGTGGCTTCCATGACCAATTTCATCCCTTGCAGATTCCTCCTCTGATGTGAAAAACCGAGCTCCAATCAACTTCTTGTTGCAAGTGAAATTTTTTCCACCATTACAAGCACCTTTCCATTTCATAGGAGCAGGCCCAAAACCTTCATCTTTAAAACTATCTGATTCAGGCCAAACTCCAGTGTCAATCACACCAATAATAACATCACTCTCAGACGTGGCATTTCGAGTTATTGTCTCACCGAAACTCATGAAGTCCCAAGATCTTGTTGTTTGAAGTTGGTAAGTTCTGCTTGGGAAGACAGAGACTACTTCCTTCATGTTAGCAAGCTTTTCGCTCTCACGGTCAGTGAGCTCCGCCACAAATCCATTGAAACTCCTTCTGTAACTTCTTATCCAGGCATTTGCAGCAGAACTGCCCTCGACAACTCTTTCGAGTATACCAAGGTGGTGAGACAATGGTGAGTACAACTCATCATGAGGAAGTGACCCCAAGTACACAATATATGGCTTTCTGTCTTCATGACCAATGGCTTTGCACAATAAGCTCATACTGAGTATGAGAATGAAGAAAGCATAAGTAAACAAGAATGCTCCATGCTTAGCCATTGTTCAATGCTCAAAACCTTAACTGGTGAACAATACTTTATAGTAGAATGCTCAAAAACCTTAGCCTTTAAGCATCCAGATTTTGCTTCTCTGCAATTACAGATAAGGAAATCTGTGATTCATTATTACAACAGATATGCATCCATATTTTACTTTCCTTCCATGGGATTCATTATTAAAAGGATTCAGAATTTCTTTCCATCTAGGATGACAAAAATATAAGTTCAGAGTTTTCTGTTCACACATCTCCTGGGTCCATAAATTACGGACTGCATTTGTACCTTTTTTTTTCCCATTCAACTGCATATGTACTCAAAAGTGGCCCAAATTCATCCTTTTGCAACAAGTTTAGAATTGTTAGGGCAAGAATTAAGGCTTCAAGTCTCATTTAAACAAAATCCAAGCATCTGACTTCTGACAGAATTTATCGCCTCGTAACCAAACTAAATCAATTACATAACGCCTAGTGTCCTAAATATAATCCAAATATTAGCCTTTGTTGTAGTGGTAGTTATCTCGACTTGGTTCAAGAGTTCACCCAATATGGATGCAATTACTTATGTAGTTGTGATAAAGTTGTGACTAGCCCATTGTTTGTAAAAATATACGTAGTATATAATAAAATGATTGACAATATTTCTGGAGTTGTCTTCTAAAAGATTTTACGTTTGGCTCCTTCTTTCCCTTAACACTCCAACTCTCCTTCTCCTTCACTCATATGTGCAAGCAAAGTCCTCTTTACACACACACACACACACAAAGTGCTCTATCGATTGAAGACGTCAAAAATACAAATTGATGGTGTATGGAGCGATATCAAATTTCTTGTTATTCCAACCAATATGTTTTTTTGGTGATACGCAATGTCATGTTAATCCTGTTCAGATAAGTTTTCTCTGAGCTCTCCCCACGGTTTGGTTTGGTGACCCTTTTTTCCCATTGAAAGAATTTCAGGCAACATCAGGACCGTATGGCCTACTTCGATCATTTAGCTTTTCCAAATTAGTGAACTATAACGTTTTTGGTATCGAATTGATGAAATTGAAATTAAAGAAAGAAAATTCTCCTATCACTGCATTTTGGATCTCTAGTCAGAAAACTGAATTAACCACCCACTGAAGAAAGAGAAAAAAGAAAATTGTAAGCATATAAAAGAGATGATATCTGATCACTATTGCTAAAACGTACCTTTTCTTCTAGACATTGCTCCGAAGGTTAATTTGACAACAATAATAAAATTGTGATTAAGGTATAGTGTACATGAGAATTGGACTTTCTAACAGTATGAGTTCCACCAGACCATGCATAATCGTGGCCCCGGCTAGTCTGACAAATGGTGGAGTTTTATACAGAAAGTCTCAATACTATTAATAGTTGAACCACTCATTAATTATATATTGTATATGGCTTATTAGGGTAATTAGATAGCTAGAGACGAACCATAGGCTCACCACTAATAACATAAATATTGTCCAAAACTTAACCACTTACAAGGCCTTGTAAGTGTGGGGCTTTACCACAAAAGGGTTCGGCGTTATTAGTAGTGGAACTACTCATTATATGTTGTAAGTTGTTTAGTCAAGTTTTCGACGTGGAACTTTATAACTTTGCATTTCCAAGAGACTGTCTTTTAGTTTGTGGGTTGAGCGTTAGCTTTACATCACATAGCTTCAATCAAAGGGATTTATATGTAGTACATATAACTCAAAAGAATGTGACCAATAGGGTCTAGTCCAGTAGAAAAGGATATTGAGTTTCAGACCATTGATCTCAAATTCGAATCCTTCTATCCTTGTATTTTAATTAGACTATCGCTTGTATTTTTTTATTTTTTATTTTAAAACCTAAAAAAAATGTGGTAAATTAAACTGAAAAATTAAGGGTAATAGTTTGTTAAGCAACTACTGGTTCACAATAGATAGAGTTAAATCCTTTTTTTTTAGTAACGATAGTCTAAACTACAGGGGAGAGGGTTTCTTACACACACACACACACACTATTATGATGTCATTGGGGTTTGAACTTGAGATAAATAGTCTGCAAATCAAGACCATTTTCCACTAGGCTAGACTATATTGGTATATATGATGATTTGACCATTGAGGCTATTGTCAAAATATCGAGGCTATGAAGAATCAATCTCAAAGGAAATTATGTCATGACGATTATTCGGTGAGCTTAGTATGGTCTTAACTTTCTCAATTACAAGGGCCAAAATTGTCTCGACTTGGTTTGAGAGTTCGCCTCACATGAATGAGGTGATTAGGATATGTAGTTGTGATAAAGTTTAATATTGAGTTGTGATAAAGTTTAATATTGTAAATAGCACATTGTTTGTAAAAATAATATATAATAAAATGATTGACTATATTTTTGGAATGTTATATTTCTAGGGGTATTCGTTTTATTAGTCTCCGAACTTAGACTCGATTTGTATTTGAGTTCCTCAATTTCCAAAATTGTTCCCCTCGTCCTTCAACTTCAGTTTCGTAAGGACAAATGGTCATGTTGTCAATTTTGTTAACTTTTCAGTTAAAAGCAGGGGTAAAATGGTTTTTTTTTTAATTTTAAATTGATTAAAATATGAATAAAATATTAAACAACCAAAAAAAATTAAAAAATAAATCTCTCTCTCCATCCATCCCCAATTTTTCTACCCCCAAGATTTTTTTTCCCCTTCTTCTCGATTTCTCTCTCTCCCTATCCTAGATTTCTTCTCCCCTTCTTCCCGATTTCTCTCTCTATCCCAGATTTCTTCTCCCCTTGTTGAGCTTGGTTTTCTTTCAATCAAAAGTCACCTTCATGAAACTTGTTTTCATTTGTAGTAGAATGCTAGAACAGAGTCAGTTATATTTTTGCTCTTCTTTTTGGCCTGTATATAATTGGATTGAATTGATGGAAAAAAGCTTGATCAAGGTAGTGAATAATTTCAGCGAATGGGTATTTTAAGAAACTGTCAGAGATGAACAAATGAAGCTTCTTTGCCACAGATTTGGAAGTTTCAGGCTTTCTTTGTTGTATATCGTCTCTAATATCTGCCATGGAACTTCCATATAAAGCTTGTGATGACACTTCTCCTCCTTTCACTTGACCATACGAAGAAGAGGAGGGAGTCAGAGGTTCCATCCAGATTTCTCTCTCTGTCTCTCTGTCTCTCTGTCTCTGTCTCTCTGTCTCTGTCCTGATTTCTTCTCCCCCCCCAAGATTTATTCTCCCCTTCTTCCTCCCGATTTCTATCCCAGATTTCTACCCCCCACCCAGACCTATTCATCAATAAACTTTTCCTAAAATCATCAACAACATTTATTGATAATTTTTTTTTTTTTTAATACAAGCGATAAACTTTTAAAATAGTCGGTGATGACATTGACAGTTTGTGCATAGATCTCACGAGCTGAATTGTAATAATCATAGAGTCCTCTTAATAGTATATTTTGCCTCATAAAAACCATCAAAATGACTCACATACACTTGGATTTCCTCCTTCCTCCGCTCATGCAGTCAAAGCTCTACGCACACTCCCCTGTCTTGGGTCACACAACAAGCAACTACCACCCCACCCCACCCCCCAACACACACACACACACACACACACACCCAAATTTGCAGAGAAACCTCAAAAAATAATTTCCCACTTCGCCATGTCCAACATTTCAGCTCTCTAACACCATCTATGATGAACAATATTGCTTCTCCTACACAGGGAAAACCCAGTAGGGGTGGCTGGAATGCTGCTATATTCATCATCTGTAAGCTATTTAATTTCTTTTTATTTTCATCTTTTTTCTCATTTAACTCTCACAATTATCTGAATTTCTTTTCATTAATTTTATGAATTTTATTTGTTTGCTTGATTATTATTAACTGCAGTTGTTGAGGTGGCCCAGCAGTTTGCATTCTATGGGTTGGCAAGTAACCTCATCATGTACCTCACAAATGTTCTGGACCAGCCCTTGGCCACGGCGGCTAAGAATGTCAACACCTGGCTCGGTGTCTCATCCGTCTTCCCCGTGCTTGGAGCCTTCGTTGCAGATTCGTATTTGGGTCGCTTCACCACCATCCTCTTCTCCATCACCATCTATTTCATGGTAAACAAAAACAAATTCATTATTTTTTTTTTTCACTACTTCATATATTTAAGTATATATGTGTAGGATGCTCTTGTGAGTACATAAATCAGATTTACAGTTTGACAACATAAGCATGTTAATTATGTAACGAAACCGAGAAAACATTGCTCGTGTTGAGTACTTATATATATCTTTTGTGTTCATGGACTGTATATGATATATCATGTTATAGGGCATGGTCCTTTTAACTCTCTCAGTCTCAGTAATTCCTTCGCAAAGTTGCCGAGCGGTCTTCTTCGTGGCACTGTACATTTTATCGGTTGCCCAAGGCGGGCAAAAGCCTTGCGTGCAAACCTTTGCAGCAGACCAGTTCGATGAGAACACGCCGGCGGAAAGAAAGGCTAAGAGCTCATTTTTCAACTGGTGGTACTTGGGTTTGGTGTTTGGTGCCACTTCTGCCACACTCGGAGTTGTATATCTCCAGGTAAAATCTACGTTTGAGATCCCCCACAGTATTATTTATATTATAATAATACATAAAGAAAAAGTTGGATATGAATTATTTGTGTGGTCAATAAAGTTGGATAAACTGCATAATTGCACCCCAAAAATATTTTATTCGTTAAACTACCTCGTTGCCTTTCATTGAATTTCTTGTTTCCTCTCTCTCTTTTCAATTCAAACTAATATTATAAAAATAAAATAAAAAAAACTAAATGGTCATGGCGTCAAGGTTGGTTCATCTATTCCCTCTTGCATTAATTTAACATCTTTTTTTTTTTCTAATTCAAAAAAAAAGGGAATTCTCAGCACCAATGACCACTAGCCTGCATACCAACAGCTCTACCATTGTACTAAGACCACATTGGCTCCAAATCATTCATCATATATATATATATTGTTAAAAAAAGAAAAAAAAAAGAGTATTTAGAATACTGTTTTGCGGTTGATTAATTACATATGAACAGTGTAATTAAAATCAATATTTTTCTTGTAGGATAATGTTGGGTGGGGATTAGGGTTTGGCATATTAGCAGGGGTCTTGATGGTGTCACTATTATTATTCTTGGTGGGAATTAAGAGGTACCGGAAGCAAAGGCCTCCTGGCAGCCCATTTACAACGCTGGCACAAGTGTTTGTGGCAGCAGCTCGGAAATGGCACGTGAATGAGACACTCAATTGCGAGAGTGTATATTATGAGGACGAGAAGGGTGGAGCCACGGTAGAAGGTCAACCTCAGGCTCTAGTTTTGTCGCGTACTAATCAACTGAGGTAACTTTTATAATTAAATGCTAGTAATTTTTGTAAATCAATGGCTACGAGATTTGAACTTAGGATATCTTTCAATGTTAGGAAAAGAAGTATCTTGAAATCTCGGGACATCTTTCAACGTTAGGAAAAGAAGTATCCCTTATCAATAACTATGTTTTTTTTCTGTTTTTTTTTTATAATGTTTTAACTTTATTATGACCAGGAGCTAGTTGATTAATATTGCACATAACACTTTGTGGCCCTACACCAATTTTATGTTAGTGACTAGTAAAGGTGTTGCCAAAACAGCATACGTATAGGTGCGCCAACCTCTACTGCCCTAAAGTCAAACCCTCAAGAACAAAACTCATCACAAAACAGATATAGTTGTTTTTCCCATTTGTAGTTTAGGAACAAGACATGGCCCTTCCCTTGCCCTTTTCTTTATAGTAATTTCAATTTGCAGGCTTATTAACTTATTGAAAAACAAAATGCAGATTTCTGGACAAGGCAATGATCATAGACGAAGTAGATGCGTCAAACCAAATCAGAAATCCATGGAGGTTATGCTCTCTCAATCAAGTGGAAGAAGTGAAGCTTGTCCTCCGACTCATTCCCATATGGTTAAGTTGCCTAATGTTTGGTGTAATCCAAGCCCAACTTCACACCTTCTTCACCAAACAAAGTAGCACAACAATCCGATCAATTGGTTCCCATTTCCAAGTCCCTCCAGCATCACTTCAAGGACTTGTTGGCATTGCCATCTTAATCGCCGTTCCAATCTACGACCGATTTTTCATCCCGTTAACCCGAAAATATACAGGACACCCCTCAGGCATTACCGTACTACAAAGAATCGGGATCGGCCTTGTTATATCAATACTCAATATGGTTGTGTCAGCCCTAGTAGAGGCCAAAAGGCTCGACGTTGCAAAACATTATAATCTCATTGACAAGCCTAAAGCAATAATACCAATGAAGCTATGGTGGTTACTTCCACAATACCTAATTTGCGGTGTCTCCGACGCGTTCACAACCGTGGGACTTCAAGAACTGTTTTATGATCAAATGCCAGAGCAGATGAGAAGCATCGGGGCAGCGGCTTTTATTAGTGTTATCGGCGTTGGTAGCTTCATAAGCTCTGGTATTATAAGTATTGTGCAGTCCATTACCTCCAGAAATAGTGACAAATGGCTTGGGGACAATATTAATCGGGCTCACCTTGATTACTTCTATTGGGTGCTAGCAGTTTTGAGCACACTGAGTTTGTGTGTTTATGTGTTAATTGCAAGGGCTTTTGAGTACAGAAAGGTTGGAGGAGAAGAGAAACTAAAGGCAGAGATGAGCATATTTGCAAAGAACCACGATGGAGAGACATGAGACATAAAAGGCAAGATTAGAGCAAGTACAAGTCTAAGACTCACAAACTTAAACTGAGGATAAAGTGCTCTACCATTAGCAGCTAGAAGTTAAGCCCGACAATTACAAGAAGTACTTATTTATTTGCGAGGAAACACATTCTGCGATTTAGGTATATAGGTCGTTGATTTTAAGTTCAAATTCCTAATGAAAAATGCCTTGAAATAATGCGCATAGTTTAAGAGGTAAGAGCATTTACTTGTGCACTCGAGGTCTTAGGCTCAATCCCACCAATTATTCCAATGAACATGCTCGAAGCAGATTTTTTCTATTGAATTAAAAATCCGAAATTTGAATGGCAAGGATTGAAGGAAATGATCAAGTTGTATATAGGAAAACCTGAACAAAGGATATGATTTGATTTGATACTTGGGATCGTGGTTTCAGGGATTTGATTGTTCTTTTTCCTTTTGGTTAAAAACGAGACCAAACGGGAGGGGGAAGATTCCAACATCATGCAAGAGAATCAAGGAGAATCGCTAGAGATTTCATTCGCGCATGCACTAAAAAACGAGGACAATGTTGGGTTGGGGACGTTGGGGTGGGGTGTTTCATTCTTTACAATCACTAGCTATAAATTTTCTTCTTCTTTTTTAAAAAAAAAAAAAAAAATTAAAGTCCGAGCATCATGGTCGACCTTGAATCTATAATTCATTCAATTGAGTACAAACAATTATATTATTGTAAAATTCATCTTCTTTTTTTTTTTTTTTTGGAAAATAAGCAATAGTATTTTATTGATGAGCAAACAAAAGTACAAAGCAACTATGTGTTGAATATGAGTAAATCTTCTCCAGTGACCAAACATAACAACATGTTGAATTAATCTGGAGAGAATCACGCACAACCCAAACAATGACTAAATCCACGATCCAACAACCAGAAGCATATGCACTCAGACCTACAATACAAATCTGCCGCTCAACGGCAGGAACGGTAAATCTATATCAAAAACCAAAAGCTAAAAAGAAATAAAATCCTAAATAGAAAACAAATCACAGCAAACTCCTAAAGAAAATTATTGGTCTAAAACAAAACTAAGAAATAGGACTACCGCTTCACATAAAATAGGACTACCGCTCCGCATCTTTTGGACAACCCGAAGAAAATCATAACAGCATTGTAGAATTCATCTTAGAGCTTCAAGTGTGGAATTAATGTGAAACACGTGTCAATTTCATGACTTCGTGACTGATGTAGTCGATACAATGATACAAACATTTTGTTCTGGCAGGACTGCCCCTTCAAAAGTGACAAAGGACATACAACTTGCCCATAAAGTACACATGGAATTTGGTATTATTGGGGTCGAAGTTGGTCGTGCACTTGCATGGAAAGTTGGAAACGTCTCTTTTACTGTGTATTCTTTCATTCTTGTAGAAAATATATTTTATATGTCCTTATTTCACCAAGTTTATTTTTATTAAATGAAAATAAAAAACAAATATATTGAGGACAAGCAACTAATATAAGTTATTTTAATAAGATACAAAATAAAAATCTCCCACAATTTTTTTAAGTCCCATTATTTTTTTCTCCTCTTGTGATAACTATCATGCTCACATGTATAGCATTGGTGAAATTTTGACATGTTTAGTTACCCACTAAATCGAGAAACTTAGTTGGAGAAATCAATGAATTGGAATTGGATAAATTATTCTTTTTTATCTCAATCTTGATTTTGAGGGTATACTTATATAATTTTTATTCTTTTATGTGTTAGTAAGTATGAGTGTTTACTTATAAGGAATGAGTATTGGAATGATTTCAATTTCTACTCTTCATGTGTTTATTACACATAAGGGATTATAAAAAAAATTATATGTGTTCCACATGTTAAAATCCGTAATGAAATATCCTTCAAATCAAGTGAAATCAACTAGAGAAAGTTATTGATCCGATTCCCGTGCCTTGATTACCCCATCTATATTCCCCGATTCATGACTTCTGTTATCTCTAATAAGCAAACATGAGATGAGAAGGTGTGCAATTGGAATTACTCTACTGCCCTAAGTACCATGCTAGCATTCGTGAAATTTTGTGACTAGACCAAATGGTTGTCTCTTGTGTCAATTTGTTTTGAATTGGATCACAAGATCGTATATATATTTTCATAAATAAAAAAATCCAAAAAGATGTCAAAATCTCGTTTAAAAAATTTGAATGGGGAAAATTCCTCCAAAACTAAACAGTAATACCATTGAATAATGGATTGGACCGAAATAGTCATTCTGAAGGGTCAAATGGAATATAATGAACAAGTCCACATTTTAAACAGAAAAAACAGCACCTTCTTTGCTTCTTCGCTAATTCAAAAATCAACCAAGAAGATCCTCGAGATTCTGGACGAAATCTGTCGGATCTTTCTTTCCGAACTGTCATATTTTCAAGAGGATTTTCTGTATCTCTCTGACTCCGATGGCTTCCCATTTAAAACCCACCCACCCTTTCTTCCCTTTCATTATCCTCTGCTCTACTTCTTCTTCTTCTTCTTCTTCTTCCTCCTCCTCCTCTGTTCCCGGTGTTATTGCTTTTGATATTACAAGAGTTCATCAATCATGGGTTTGTCTGCAGAGGCCCAATTTCATGTTCTGGCTGTTGATGATAGCGTTATTGATAGAAAGTTGATTGAGAGACTTCTCAAGACTTCTTCATACCAAGGTATTATATGTTCATGGAGTTTTTGGTTTCTTTTGGTTTTGTTCAATTCTGCTTTTGAATCATTGTTTTGGCTTTAATTGAGTGCTAAAATCTTTCTGGGTTGTTTTCTTTTTGTCAATTTCTGCAGTTACTGCTGTTGATTCTGGAAGTAAGGCTTTGGAATTTTTGGGTTTGCATGATCAAGATGATCAAATTGATGCAGATATTCCCTCTCTGTCTCCAGAAAATAATCACCAGGTATATATTGTGTTTCCTGTTTGATTCAATTTTGTGATTTTTTATTTGAATTTCTATTTTGCAATTTCATCAGTCTGATCTGATTCATTTCCCCCTGCCTCTTTTTACAGGATGTAGAAGTAAATTTGATCATTACAGATTACTGTATGCCAGGAATGACAGGCTATGATCTCCTCAGAAAGATTAAGGTAAAAAAAAAAGAGGACCCAAAACCATTATGCATCTTACTTTCAATTCAGCAAAGTTTTGTGGATCAGTATCAGCTTTCACAATTGGAATTGTTTCCGGCCCAAAACCATTTCAATCAAGCTAACATTTGGGCCTAGACTTGTATAATTGGAGTTGTTATTGTCCATGAATGAATGATTAAACTTGGTGCATCATCTAGGATAGACTAATAAAAGTTTACTTTGATTTGCAGGAATCTCATGTTCTTAAAGACATACCAGTTGTTATTATGTCCTCAGAGAATGAGCCATCAAGGATCAACAGGTTAGGGGAAATTTCAAATCTCAGATTAGAAATGCTTGGTTCATTTTATGATCATGATCTGACATGTGGCTTGATGGGTTTTTGATCAGATGCTTGGAGGAAGGAGCAGAAGAGTTCTTTCTAAAACCAGTGCAATTGTCAGATGTGAACAAGCTTAGACCCCACATGTTGAAGGGTAAGGCTATGGAAGACCAATCCAACATCAACAAGAGAAAGGTCATGGAACAAACACAAACACCAGAGAGAACAAGAACAAAGTATAATGATTTGGAAGTGACTTCATGATCAATTGATGTTGTTACTTTTTTTTTCAAGTATAACGTAGGACGCTCATCGACTTACAGAGATCAATTGTCAACCGTTGATATCATCGACTTACAGAGGATCAATTGTCAACCGTTGATATATGTGAATCTCACCGTAGATCAAACATACATCAGCTTCTAACAGTTGAAAAACCAAGCTTATCACTATAATATACCCAGAAGATTTCTCTATATTTGTTCTCTTTTTTCCTTCCTTCCTATATTTCAAGCTTGATTATACAGGCTCCATAGGGATTTAGATTTCCTCAAAGACAGAAAAAGAGCCATGTTCAGAAATCTTCAAATTTAGATCTAATTGTAAATTAACAGAGAGAAAAATATTCATTAAATTTGGTTGGTGTCTTGCCAGTCAATTATGTAAGAAATAAAAATATTCGCTGGTTATGACTTTTATAAATGGGCAGATTTTGTAAAAGGAAGCTAAATTTTTTTTTTCTTTTTCTTGTTGGAGAAGCTAAGAAGTATTTGAAATTGACTTTGGGAAGGTGTGAACAATTACATGATGACCGTTGATACGTTCATGGTATTAAATAAATTAGGTAACCTAGTCATAGAAGCTCATATTGAAAACAAAGATTTAACTTCTTGTAGTTTAGATCATCGTTGGTATTTTTTTTTTTTTTAAGTGTTGGAATGGAGAAAATTAATACTCGGCACAAGAAGTTTGTAGTTTAAGTGATTAAGAACATTTACCCCTACACCCACGAGTTTCTATATCCAATTCCCCCATCCTAAATATGGGTTATATTAAAAAATATAAATATTGCTACTAGGCAAAACTCAAAATTTTATAAACAACATTGGTTGTAAAACAAGAAAATTGTTAAATTCAGCATGGAAATAAATAATAATAATAATTGGGAGTTGAGGGTTATTTTCAAATTTCACCACACTGTGATTTTAGAAAAGAAGCAACGACTGTCGTCATCACCCTTGCCGCCACCATCCTTGTGTTAATTAAGAGGCTGTAAAATAATGTGTGTGTGGTGCTTCATAAAGTGCAAAGCACCAAATTTATGCAAATATATATATATATATATATATATATATATTCTAGAAAAGGAAAATACTATTACAATAATCAAGGAATAATTGAGTGAGGCTAATGAAGATCGGTAGAGGTAATCATGGTTTTGACAGAGAGTTAATTGAGTTTTGCCGTACGGTGTGGCTATCAAATTGAAACATGAGGGATGCATGAACTTGGCAACATAGAATGTGGGTGCGTAATGATCAACCAATGACACATGAAATTAGTGGTGGATCCAAAATTTAGAAGTCAAGCACACAGAGTTTATCTTAAAAATTTGATGATACAAATGAATTTCATTTATAAAAATAAAAAGATACATCTAGACAGGGAACGTAATGATCATTACCTTCAAATATATATAAATGAAAGTTTAACTAAAAAAATCTTGACCATTATCAACTCTTTGGACCTCAATTTTTTCAACTTGAGGCTCAACAGTGGGAAAGTTGGGATCATTTTTTTTATTTAAATCATTTTTTTTCTTTAAAAAAAAAAAGATAACAAATTCAGACCCAAAAAACCAAAAAAGATAACAAATTCTTTGTTTTCTTAGAGTTTCGATTGTGATCCGACATAATAAAAGATAACATATTTAATCAAACATCCCAACAAAAAATCAAACAAATTCTCATAATAGCATTAATGCATTTAATCAAACATTAACATACTAACAACAAATCAAACATCTCAACAAAATTCCTAAAATCAAAGACCTAATTAATTTCAATAAAATATCCAAGTTATAATTCATTCCTAATTAA